AGTATTTTACGTACGATACCTACCATGAAAGCCTTTTTGTCTCTCAAGGCCAACAGTCTAATCCATAATTAAACTTCTATTAAAGCTTTATCAGAAACAGTGTGGATGTCCGGACGTTATTATACCGTGTAGACACCATGTATTTTCTATTACTCATTCACATTTTCCTCATTATTTACAATAACGTCTGAATGTCCGCATAATATATATATGTTACACAGGTCCGCATAATATATATATATATATATATGTGTGTTCCACAGTCGAACAGTACCAACCCAGAGGCTAGAAAAAGTTGATAGTTGACCAACTGTGTCAAAAATGAGATTTGACCATTCAAAGACTTGTAATTTTACCTATTTATGGTTGTTAATTAACTCCACTCAGTACGTTAATTTGGTCATTGTGAGGCAGGTGGCTACTGCCTACTTTTAATTCCAGTCCCATAACAAAACATATAATATATTTGGGTCTTAATTAACCTCTAATCACTTTGTAAATTTGGGATTTCCCCATATGATCCTGAAATCCTCCACAAAGATTAGATACAGTGCACCAACTCTTGACAAAACTTAGCTATATTTTTATACAAGTAATCACTTTGTAAGAGAAACGCAAACTTGTAGTAGTGAACAATTTAATAATTAATATATAAGTAATTAACTTGTCTTGACCCTTTTTTTTTCCCTTCTACTGAATTCATCGAAAGGAAATTTAATGGATATTTTAATATTTACTTAGATAACGAAAATATATAGGTAAGCACGGCCAAGTCTTATCTCTGAATTATGTGGTGTAGTAGCTACTTTAAAGTATAAATTAATTCATTACTTTTATGTTCGAGTAAAAGAAAATGTCTTTATTGTTGACTTGTTAACTTGGCGTGATATGGGAGGAAAATTACAAAGAAATTCTCAACACGTTCACTACAGAGAGAGACAGTAAGAAGAAATTTGAAGTGATATCAAATCAAGACTTGGTTCTTTCAAATAAACAAGCATGATATCATGTGAAGTTTATGACAATGATGCTTGTTTCGATCGCTAAAAATCACTTCAAATAAGCACAATACACGTGAATTGTTTTTTTTTTTTTCCGTCTTATAGATGTGATAACTAGTGTAAAATACGATAATGCATACGATCCGCTAATGTAATGGTTTGGAGCAAATACTCTCTATTTCATCTCCCATAAAGATCTTGAGTTCGAATCATAGTATCGGAATAGTCTATATGAGTTTAGTACACAATAATTACTGTAAATTATGATAAGAACAGTATTGTGTGTTGTTATATAGTTAAAACAGATTAATATATGCTTTCCCAATCGTTTATATACTTAATACGAAAAAGTCGGAATGATTAGGACAAATTGCACTGAAATCCATTATCAAACTATCTGATCTAACCATAGATTCAAGAAAAGACACCTTGTGGACCATGTTATCTGTGATTATATATATCAAGATTAATATATATATATATATATATATATTGTTATATCAATTT